TGCATGTGTGTGCCAGAGGACAACTTTGGTGTTGTTCCTCAGGCACTGTCCATATTTTAAAGAATTGCATTGATTTATTTGCTCATGTATTTGTTTATTGATTTATTGGTTTATTTGTGTGTTCCTGTAGATGTCAGAGGGACAACCTTTGGTTGTTGGGTCTCTCTCTGTACCACGTAGGTTTTGGAGATTGAACTCAGGTTGTTAGGTATGGCGGCAAGGATCTCCCCTCACTGGGCCATCTCACTGGCTCTAAAGATGTAGCCAAGGCTAACCTCAAACTCATGTTCCTCTTGTCTCTGCTTCTTTATCATGTTCTACCAGCATGAGACATTACAACTGACCTTCTGTTTTGAACATGGTTCTTTCTTTAACCTAGAGATGGACACCTGCTTTGCCTCAGTGAATGAGCTTGACGCTAGGTCCACATAAAAACAAAAGTTAGAGTAGAAAAATAGAAATAAGAACTCAAAGTTTTGAGTGCTTCCTAAGCAACAGACACTATGGTTGGTGTTTTACATGGATTATTTCAGATCACCCACCCCTGTTTTATTTATGCCCCCACTCTGTGATTTCTGCTTTCCAAGTACTATTCATTTGCTTGGCAGGTCTCTTTACACTGATTTGTCTTCTTAAAAATGCACAAATTTATCTTCCAAGAAAATGCTATATTATTTCCATAAATTGGAGTTTGATATATGGCTTCCATATTTCTCATGTGCGCTGATTACGAGCTGCTGAAATAACAGATATGCATCTGTGTACCACCTAAAGTCATCTTACACAGCATCGATCTTGTGTGTGCAAGTCTTTGGGGAATTCAGCAGCATCTCAGCTAAAGGGGCACATACCCCTGGGAGGATGCTTTACAGACCAGAACAGTCCTTCCTGAAGTCCCAGCAGTGTGGAGGGATGGAGCTGGATTTGAATCCAACCGTCTACCTCTGGGTGCTTGGGCCTTTTCAACTCCATTGCTTGTCAAATAAATGTATTTTAAACCCAAAGACCCTTTTAAGAATAAAACTTTACTTGGGAGTCTAGTATAGAAAACAAATGAAAGCAGAGATATTTTTTTGTGTGTGATTAAAATGGGCTAAGGAATCCAGGGTGTATGTGTGTGTGTGGTGGGGGGGACTTCCCTTCCACCAAAGTCATCCTATTATTGTCTCGTGAGACCCTTTCTCAGAAGCCTGGAACTCATAGAGACATCGTTTCAAACCCACAGTCTGTTACTGTCCCTTGGTTCTGTTTAGTTCAACTTTCTCTGTAGACTCCTGAGGGGTGAGTTGTGGGTCTGTGCTGTTCTTCCTGGTTGGGCCTCTCTGCTTTTAGACTTTGGCCACCTTGATCATTTTGAAATTCTCCGTCTTGCCATCTTGAAACATTCCGTTGGCTTTCTAAGCCTGGCTCTGACCTCATTGCTCATCCATCACCCGCTGATGCAACCGTATCCAGTGTTTTAGAAGGCACAGAGGGGAAAACTAGGAGATTTTCCTTTTATGAGGTCTCACTGGTGTTGGCGACAGAGTGCAGCTATGAGCATCCCCTGTTCACCCAATCATTTGCTCTCCAGGTGCCTCTGTTCCTCAGGACTCTGGTTGCATCCTGGGTAGTGACTGAGACAGAGCCAGCCAAAGTGCCCCAGGCATGCTGGATGCCTTCTACAGTGATGTCAGAGGTCGATGTCCATCCCCACCCTGATCCTGAGACATTGGTCCTCTCAGCAGTATCTGACTTCCTCTGGAATTAAGAGCTATACCTCACTCAGACCCCACATCTGCTTCCCAGTGAGGGCCATTTCCAAGTATCCCAGCCATTGCCTAGCTCCCGACCTCGGCCTGCTTTCTCTTCTCATGGCAGAGTTTGTCTGACCACCTAACTTCGAGGTTGGGAACCCTGTGAAGCTCCTCTTTGCCCAGAAATAGAGGAACCTAGTGCCTTAAAAAATGAGCAGATCTGAACAAAATTTCAACGATTTTAAACGTTTCTAAATGATAGTCTACCTTACTGTATTCCTGGACCATATCGACACAACTACTCTTTTCCTTAGTCCTAAATATGGCCCTGTCTTCTCTGAGATGCCCTGAAATGTCCTCAGTGCATCATCTTTGGGGGTATCCCTTGTGCTATAAGGCCAGGTCTTAGCTAAGGCTAAGCCCAAGTTCTGGAAAGGTTTGTCTTGGTGGACCCATGTATGTTACTAAGTTCAAAACTTCCCATGTCACTTTGATAACTCAGCTCAAGTCAAACCAAGTCAGGCATCACCAGCCTGAGTCACTGTGCACTGCTGCTTGCTCATACTAAGCCAGGTCATCATCAGGGAATGAGAGTCCAGCAATGAACAAGATGCATTCCCCACTCTCCAAGATTCAAGATTCCAGTCTCAAAACTTCCCCGAGCAAAAACATTTCCCATGAACGAAAGGCTGGAGTGGGGAACCTCTGCCTCTGGCCTCCTCCCAAAGGTTTGCTGTCGTGGTTTGAATGCTGGTTGTCAGCTGCAGAGCCTTTAGAAGGTGGAGCCCGCCTGGTGGACCGTCCCTATGTGTGCCTTAGTCTTCACTGTGAGCAGCTGCTACCTTACACACCTGATGCTGCAGACGGCCAGCTCCCACCACCCCAGGGGACTGAAATCTCTATAACCCTGAGCCCAAACAGTCTGTCGTCTCTGATGTAGCAGGCAGGGGCTCTGTCACAGTTACTATCACCCTTCTCAAATCACCTCCTGGAGTACTGAGCTGAGCACCTCAGATGGCAGAGCTGGCTGGCCCCTCCCCTTTTTAGGGTCTGCTGTGTAGGGGTCTTGAGTCTTTTCTTCATCGTTCAGTCGCTTGCTTATTTACTCAAAGCCTTCACTAAACACTTCGTACAGATGTGCTCAGCACCACACAGACATTACCACATTTAATACCCTGTGACAATTAAATTGTCCAGGTCTCTGCATAATCAATATAAATCTAGAGGCATTTAAGTGACCGGCTAGAATGTAACTCAGCCCTGACGCCAAAGCCATGCTCCCCGTCTCTCTCTCTGCTGCCTGTTAGAACAACCGAATAGACTGTAGTCACCAAGGCTCACAGAAACACATTCTCCATGGAGGGAGAGAGAGGATTAATGGATGTCTTATGGAGGGGCCGAATCCCACCCGACTACTCTATTAGAATTCTTTGAGGAGTGAACTATGTAGGGAGATAAATGGTGACTTTCACAAAAAGCCTTTGTTAACTTTCTATCCCAAAGCCTATTAATAAAATTGATTCATTATAGAATTGGGCAGAAGTGGGTGGCAAGTGGGAGGAAGCCTATTTTTATATGGATAGAGAACTGGCTTAGAGACAAGAGGGAGGGTGGGGATAACGGGTGCTTTTTCAAACCGAGAACTAGGGTTCCCCAGGAATTGCTATTGAGTTAGGTTTGGCTATAGGTGTTGAGCACACAGTGTGTGTGAGCCCTGGTCCAAATACGGGGCAGCCCAGAGAAGCCGGATTCTGTTCATTTCTTAGAGGATCTAAGGGGGGCAGTGTGAGAAGTCTTCATGATTCAGGGCTTGCTCCTCAGGGAGCTGCAGAAGGTGACCAGGGAGCAGAAAGACCTCCACACTGTGGCCACAAAGGTGGAGGTGACATTGGTTCTGCCACTGACTCTGTGGGATACTGGGCATGTCCCTCACCCTCTTGGGTCTCAGTTTGCTTTCCTATACATTGAAGTGTCGGCTCTGATGGCCTGGGAAAGTGGAACGCCCTGGGTGGAGGACACTAGTTTGAAACAGGAAATACTAATGAGAAAGTTTTCATTTCTTATAACCCAAACACCCACCTGCTGGGATTTCTTCTCTCCGTCCCCCTGTCTTCTCCCCTTCTCCCCTCCCCTGTGACTATCAGGCAGAGAGCCAGGAGGTCTGTGGTGCTGGGGCTCAGAGCCCAGCCAGGGATTCCTCAGTGGCATTGCCTGTGGATGACTCAGCATCGTAAATAGCTCCCATCTGGATGAGCCACGGTATCTATAGCGTTTGCACGATCTCTGTATCCATACACCCTCTCTCTGTACAAATATGTGGATCACTGTATGCTAAATATGAGGTGGCCTGGAGATGTTCCTCCTCTTAGAGGACTATTTGCTAGGAAACTCAAGACTGTTTATTTAAAGAAACAAGTTTACAATTATGCACACTGTGGCTTGGAAGAGATGATGTGGATGGAAGGATGCTGGGGGTGGGGCTGATCAGGCTGGGCGTGCTAACCTGCAAGAGAGCTGAGGCTGATTGCTCCATCCATGGTCCTTCTGTATTTGTGGAATTGCACGGTGGACACACTACTGAGATACGCGGATGGAATAAGGGAGGGGAGACGTGCTGTATTTTAGTGGAAAGAGCAAGGAGCTGGAGGTAACAGGAGAGCCAGGTCCTGGCCCAGCGTCCCTATCTTGTCACAGATGAATCATCAGTTTGTTCATTCACTTGTTAAACACTAACCAAGTCTCCCTGTGTGCATGGCTCCAGCCAAGGAGAGTAGATGGGGATTCAGCTTTCTCCCTCTGCCTGGCCTGTACACTAGGCTAGCCCTGGCCTGTACTCTGGGCTAGCCCTGGCCTGTACACTAGGCTAGCCCTGGCCTGTACTCTGGGCTAGCCCTGGCCTGTACACTGGGCTAGCCCTGGCCTGTACACTGGGCTAGCCCTGGCCTGTACTCTGGGCTAGCCCTGGCCTGTACACTGGGCTAGCCCTGGCCTGTACTCTGGGCTAGCCCTGGCCTGTACACTGGGCTAGCCTCCGAGCTTCAGTTTTCTTCTCTGGAAGCAGGGATGGGAATGCTCACCTTGGGCTTTAAGAGATAGCTCTGGATAAGATATTGTGCCAACGATGCGGCCTAAGCCATCGCACCGCCCCCAGCCGACCCATCTCACTCCAACTTGGAAATGGAAGAACGACCCCCTTCATCTTAATCCCAGGCAAGAGGCTCCCTGAATGCCACACATGGCTATGACCTTGGGCAGAGCTCTTACCTGTGATTCCTGTATGAACCGGGATGCAGGGGCCTCACGCACCAAGCAGGGTCGATGGCATGTCAGAGATATTCAGCTTCCTAGAGAAGGAGAGAGGATTTGGAACTGAGAGTGTAGCCAGGGGTGGGGCTTCCTAAGTAAACAGTGAGACCCTAGTGTCCTCAGCCACTGCCATCTCCTGCCAAGGCCGTCACTGCTTCTTTCGGTTCTAGCAAAGAGCTGGGTGGGATGGGGCTCTGCCTGGCATCAGATCCAACTCCTGGCTCCTCTCCCCTAATCTGCTGGCCGTCACCCATCTTATTTACTGGCTCACAAAACACTTGTCTGGTGCCACCAGTGTCTGATTGGTGTCAACAGACACATTTTATTGACAGTCATGTCTAGTTTCCAGTTCTGCCTTGGGGATATTCGTTGCATATCCCTGACCCTCTGCTCCCTCTCACGTATTATGGGGCTTTGGCAGTGCCAATTCATGTAAACTGGATCTTGGCTATGAAGACACATAGAACATGAGCCCCTCAAATCCTACTTTCTTCCCTCACTTTAGCCTTGGGGTACCAATCCTGTTGTAGGAGGCAGGAGGTAGCACATCTGTGTCTGTTTCCAGACCTTCCACAAGGTCTGCCAAGGTCAGTGCCCCGCCAGTGTTTGTTGACTGAGCCTGCTCTCATGGTCTGGTGGAGCTGTCTTTGCACACCGAGGATTAGAAAGGTCAGTTTCGGAGAACAGAGGCAGGAAGGCAGTTGATGTGGCAGTCAAGTGTACATAGAAGTACCCAGGGAGCTGGGACCCAAAACCATAACTCTTGCACTTGTCCACCCCAGCTGCTGATTTCAGGGCCTGGGAGGTGGCCCTTTTTGGACGAGCACTGGATGTAGGCTGTGGAGAGGCCTTCAATGCCTGCTTACCCACTTCCTCCCAGTACAGCTTGTTACTTCCTCCTGTAGTCTCTCCTTGTCTTTTTTCCAATAACAGTCTCTCTCCCAGTGCTCCAGGAGCGGGCGGATCTGTCATTTATCACCATGGGGACTGAGGTTCAGAAGGATGAAGGGCTGCCTGGCTCACAGAGGCACTAAGTGGTGAAATAGGGAGTCCCACAGCGGTGACTCGAGGTCCTTTGTCACCAGCAGTCTTCAGGTCCACTTTGGATGAGGCATCCATCTGACCCCCCATCTTGTGTGATCCTGTTTCACCACACACAGCTCTAGCCGTGAAGCCCACTGTTGGAAAAGGAGCTCCTTCAGGCTCCCCCCCACCCCTGAGTCCAGGACTGAGCAGGACTTTGGTAGGTGTCTGATGAACGAGTTCAGGACTGAGCAGGACTTTGGTAGGTGTCTGATGAACGAGTGCCTGAGAAGGAACTGTGTGACTGAGCGAGAGGGCCAGACCATGTTCGGATGCGGTGGCACAGCCGTAAAAGGGACAAATGTGATCCCTAGTCTCAGAGAAAATCAGCAACTGGATTGGAACCATGGCCAAGTTACTGTTTTCTGATTGGCTGGGGTGGGGAGGTGGAGCTGTGTGTGTGTGTTTCAGGGAACAGATGGGTGGAGGGACTGTATTCTGCCCAGCAACAGCATCTAAGTGCAAACAGTAATTTGTGTGTCTTCGGCTGGGCCACCTGGGTGCAGGATCAAGTACCTGAACTTTAAGAAGTCAATGAAACAACAACAACAAAAAAAAAACGGGTGGTACAGTTAACTACTTGGTGCCAGCCTCCTGCTGAGTCCCAAACAGCTAGTACTTTAGGTGTTGGCACATAGTAGGTGCTTGCACATAGTAGGTGCTGGCACATAGTAGGTTCTTAGTCAACTGGAGTGAATTGGAAAGTAGGCAGAGAGCAGGTCAGGATAACTTTCATCTTAGGGCTTGTGGGAGTCCAAAGCATCAACTCTCAGCTTGGCTGCAGATGCGTCCACAGCGAGCTATCCTAACTGCACAGGGAGGCTCTCTATTTCAGCACCCTGTCTTCAACATCTCACTACCTGGCTAGTCCAGTGTCACAGACTCCTTCTACAGAGCATGGCAAAGAGGCTCAATAAGGACTTGGCCCATAGTTGAAGCTCAGGACCCGTGCCCATCTCTAGAAGTGAGATGCAGACAGCTGCCCAGAAAGCAGTCGATGAAAACATAGTGTGAATCCCACTCTAATGCAGGCTTGTCGAGGGTGCTCCTCCGCAGGAACAGCAGGGGTTTCCCTGAGAAGAGGAACTGAGGCCTGAAACTTAGACAGACCGAGAGGGCAGTGGGATGGGGAGAAACACCATCTGCAAAATCATGGAGGCAGTATGGTCCATGAGGAAACTTGGAATCGTGTGGCTTGGCTTGGTGCAAGATCCGTAGGGCCCACGTGTGTGGGGCCTCAGAACAGCCAAGGGAGGTAGAGAACCCTTGGTGGGCCCCAGATCTGTGCCTCTGGAAGACTGAGAGCATTGGATTTGAGTGGAGGAAGGTGGGCGCTTGAGAGTGTCTTGCCAGGCTGTGGGAGGCCCCCACTGTTTGCCATTTTCCCCTCTATTTACTCCTTTTCCATCCTGTGACCTTGTTGTGTTTTTCCCTGTCCCAGGGCATCTGCCCTTTCTGCTTCTTATGCCTGCATGCTTCCTGTGGTCAGCTTCTTTTTTTTTCCTTTTATTGAGATGTTAGCTTCACTACCTCTTCCTGAATTCTTCCCTAGATGCTTTATTAAACAGACCCACTTTCTGTTACACATCCCTTCCTTACCTCTTAGAACTTAGAGAACCTGGCAAAATGATTTAAAGTGTTTGTTTTCTTTCTCCCCATTAGACTTGAGCTTTGTGAAGGCCAGATCCTTGTTCTGCCCCAAGGATGGCTCAGGGAGACAGTTCCGTGTCTGTCTGCACATTTGGGAAACAGGAGGATAATACTTATCATACAGGGTTATTGACAACATTGAAGACACTCTTGCATGTGGCCTGCCAAAGCCAGCATGACCCCGGGGATCCCACCAGTCAGTCCCCACTTTCTGGATCATGAAGCTGAAGCTTAGAGAAAGATGGGACTGGCTACGTGGCCCAGCTAAGAGATGATGGGATGGACTTCTCTGATGTCGGAGAAGTGCCTGGCCCTGCACCCTGCTCTGAGTAGGCGTTCAGCAGCGAGAGCTGGCACTGGTCTCCTCCAGCCATCTGCTGCTTGAACTGAAAGACCCTGCTTGCTTGCCTGGCTGTCACAACTTGCCAACGAGTCAGCCACAGGAATTCTAATGGCTGGGTTTTTGTGGAACACAAAGGCCTGCCTCTCACAAATGGAGAAATGCATTTTTTCTGCATTGGCAATTACCACACGGAACATCCAAGCAACCGGTCTCGTCTTGTAGGCACGTTACCAAGATTAACTTCTGAACCCTATGAAGGGTTGCTTGTTGGGGCTCGAGGGGGCAGCTAGGGAAGTGTACACCTTGGTGTCTTTCATCACCCGAGAACCTGGGGCTCGAGGGGTTTGAGAACCCCCTCAAGACAAACCTCTTTAGCTGTTTGATCTGTTTTAAGGAGAGCTGTTTCCTCGCCTCCTTAAATGCTGAATCTCCTCAAGGCTTCGAGGTTTCTGATGTGTCCTCTCCCACTTGGTTACTGACTCAGCAATGTATTATATAAATATTGGCTGAGAACATACTAGGCATTCTTATAGGCTCTGAGGATGTCACTGGGGAACAAAACATAACCCGCCATTGCCATCCTACAGACACGTGGGAGACAGACAGCAGAGTCCTGCTGGTAACCGGCTGTGTGATTGTGGGTTAGTTCCCTTCCCTCTCTGGGCCTTGGGCTTTTGTTGTCCTCTACTGCTAGGTCTCCTCTTAGAATGTTCTGATGGCCCCCACTGATTACAGAGCATGACGGGCGTCCCTAGCCTGTGACTGTAGGTCCCTCACAGCATCTTGTTCACCCATTCTCTCGTTTGTCCCCTTTTATTTAAAAGTACCCATGCTGCTCTTTCTTTTTTGTTTTTATTTATTTTGCATGTGCGGTGTAGGTATGTGTGTTTGCTCTGTGTGTGTGTGTGTGTGTGTGTGTGTGTGTATACATGTGCACCAGAGGTCAATATCAGGTTCCTGCCTTTTTTCTTTTGAGATAGGGGTTCTCACTGGTTTGGTTAGAATAGCTGGTCAGGAAGGCCCAGGAAGCCTCCTGTCTCCACCTTCCCAACACTAGGATTACTTGTGTGCACAATCACATCTAGCTTTACGGTGAGTGCTGGGGATCCGAACTCATGTCCTCACGCTTGCCAGGTGAGCACCTAATGACCGAGCTAACGTCCAGCCCTCACATTTACTCTCTGAGTGCTAGACTCTCTGAGTGTCTCACAGTTTCATCTTTACAGAATCCCCTTGAAGGAGGGACATGTATTCATCATCCCTAGAATGAGAAAGTGGAGACCACAAGGGGAGATATCAGCTCCTAATTCACGAAGCTTCTCAGTGAAGGGCTGGAATCTGAGCGAGACAGCCCAGATCCGAGGCCATGCACCCCTGTCTGCCACTGTCGCAGGCTGGCCCTCACCATGGGGTGATGCAGTCTTTGTCTGTTTGTCTGGGTGCTGAGCAATCTCGTCCCTATTCTCTCCTTTGCTCCTAGCCCATCAACCTGGGCCACCCGCTCTCCACACAACCACCAGAGGCTTGTTTAAAAAGCAAAATCAGTTTTTATCATTTTTATGAATTTTAGGTAAAACTCCACCTTGTGACCATGGCTTGGAAGGTTCTGCACTGTCTAGCCCTGCCCTGCCCTGCCCTTCCCTTCCCTGCCTCTGTCTATGGCCAGTTCTCTGTGTATTTACTCAATTCCAGACACACTGACTTCCTACCTGTCCCCAACCAGCCCAGGCTAACATTTAGCCATTGGCTCTTTCCAGAGTGTTTTCCCCACAATAGGACACGACTCTGTTGTTTGGACCTCGGTTCCACGTCACCATTTTCCATACTAACTGTTTAGGTGTTTTTATCTTTACCTTTGATTGTTATTAATGATGGTGTCTACTCTGAGGGTGTGAGCCCCAGGAAAGCAGGTGTCAGATGTATCTGGTTCTGTCTGTCACCGGCACCTGCAGTGTCTGATGTAGAAGAGCCTGCCAGTGACTAAGTGTCTTGAAGGAAGAGTAGAGTCCCCCTGAGGCTCTCTCCGTGGTGATTCGGCTAGGCCCTGAAAGGTTGGTCACCAGATCTGCTCATTCAGGCTAACTTCACAGGTGCACGCTCACTGTCTGCCACTAGCTTTCCTGCCTGTAATCTTACACCCAGGCGTGGGGCAAGTTCATTGGCTGCCTTTTGCTGACTTCCCTCACTAGGGATCCTAAGAGCTCCTTGCCTGTTTCTTTGTTTGTCTTCCTTTAACTTTGGGTAACTTGTGAGATATTATCTTTCACAGTATGTCACAGGTCAGGGGCTTCCCTGAGAAGGGAAAATGCTAACTTTTAAGTCAGAACACCAGAGCCCAATCAGAGCACACCCATTCAACACAGCTGTTACATCTCACCAGTCACGGGGGAGACTTTAAACTCTAAAGAGACACAGAGTGCTGAGTTCTGTCAGGGCCTGGGCCAAACACTGCTTACTCATTGAGCACATCAAAGGAGTTCAGAGGGATGTGTGGCCAAATCCAGGCCAAATGGAGAAAGAGACTTTCTCTTTCTGGGTTCATCTACCAGGACTAAACAAAACTGCAGAACTCCACAGAGATGAAGTCTGGGTGTCTAACTTCGGAGCCCTTTGCTAACAGGAAGCAAAGAGTCACCTGAGGGACGAGCATGGTGACCAGAGGATTGGTGTCACTAGCCTTAAAATCACTCCTAAAGCCCATGAAAAGGCAGCCTGTCAGGTCTGAAAGATCACCCACCACACGTGACCTTCGTCTTGGAAACCAGGAAGATTCTCTTCTCTGCCCTACTTTCAGGATCTGGGGAAGGAACTGTCGTACCTACCAGAAAACCCCAAGGCCAAATTTTCTAGGCGAAACAGTGAACTGAAAAGCTCTCTGGATGATAAGTTCAAAGATCCTGGCCCTGCTCTCAGGACTGGGGAAGAATGTGGCTTACTGATCACTATACCTTCTGCCTGTACGCATTCATGATGAAGGTCACTTGGAAAGGAAGCTCACTGTTTCTTTACAGGACTCAGTTTGTCTGGATTGTGGCTGATGGTCTCTGCCTTGGTAGCCATTAGGGTATCATCATCGTACAATTCTGGCTCGGTAAAATCTGTCATCTCCCCTCTCCTCCCAAAGTAGCTCCTTCTCACGTAGGTGTCACCACAGTGGGGCTTATTCCCCAAAACTTCCTGCTGAGGACAGGAATGCCCCCATTTCTCAGTCACTCTTTCATCACTCAATGGTGGATGCGGGAAGGTCAAGATCTAACGACACCTGAGGCGGTGCGGCACCCAAGTGACACAAGTTGTCATTGATGTTGAAAATATCTCTGCACAAAATAGGTCTTAGATGATGTCTTGGGATTGTCTTTTCCAAAATAAAGTCAGTGTGTGTGTATGTGTGTGTGCTTATGTGTATGTGTGTGTGTGTTTGTGTGAGATGAGAGTGAGTATGGGTATAGAGAAAATTAAATTGCCCAGCCACTGAAGCTGGACAGTCTCATCCCCCTACCCTGCTCCCTCCTTCTCTGGGGTCTCCTGTAGTGTAGACTGGTCTTGAACTCACTTCTAGCCAAGGATAACCTTGAACTTCCGATCATCCTGTCTCCATCTGGAATCACAGTTGTCTGCCACTATGCCAGGTCTATGTGGTGCTGGGAATCGAACCCAGGGCTTGGTGTATGTTAGGCTGGTGCCCTAACGACAGAGCTACATCCCTAGCCTCTCCCTTCCCCTGTCTATTAAAAATATTCTTGAAACATTCTATCGTGGGCCTGGGCTCAGCCTTTCTGTTCTCTGTTCTCAGTCCCCATCCTGAGGACCTTCTGGCATGGTGACATTACCCTGGTGGCTGTGATTTCACACCTCTAGGCCTTTATACACAGCTCCATCTGTCTGTGATCCCTTTTCTCCCACAATCCAACAGTCCTGCCTCTCAAGTCCCACAGCCTTGTTTACTAGCCCGAGTACTTCTCACGTCGTGTTTTAATTTTATTTTTCGCTTCCTCTGATGGCCTGTGGCATCCTTGGGGCGCTTCTCCATCCTCCTCAGAACATATTTTCAGAAATAATAGTATGATGATGATAATAATAATACTTTTCAGAATAATAGTAATGATGATAGCTACAAGGTTTATTTATTTTTTCAGTGTTAATGTGCCAGGCACCCCCCTCACTAAACTCGTTACATAGCTGTGACATTAAACCTCAACATAGTGTGTACTGTTAATGCTATCACCTTTTCTTGAATAGCCAAGATGCTTTCGGGAGGTTATTTTACTGTGTGCTACAAGGTGACAGAGCTGAGGCTGGGTTCAGAATAAAGGCCACCTGTTCTTCTTTCCCTAAGTCCTTAAGGTTCCAGGAGTTGAAGAGCCTAGGCTTTAGGCTCCATTCTACTTCTCAGTTGCTGAGTGACTTTAGGGGGCACCTTTGCCCCTTAGGCTCTGTCTGCCCGGTAGTCTTTCAGAGAACTAGAGGATCATGTGATGCGAGGGCCCTCCCAGCTTCAACCCCCGGAGAGGAGATTTTTCTACGGTTGGTTTTCTGCCCAGGAGCTGGCTTCCCTCTCTGGGAACCTCCCAGCTTCTCATCCTCAACCTCTTTTCTCGCTAATTGTCGTCTCTCAGAGCAAAACCGCGTTTGCAACCTGCTGCCGGGGTCGCCTCTGCCTCCCTCCCTCCTTGCCAAGCTGGGATTTCTCTTTAGGTGGGGGTGGAGCCCTGGACAAGAGGGAGAGGAGCCTGCTGCTGCCTGGCTCCTTCCTGCGGCTTCCCTGTTGTTTCTCAGCCCCTTTCCCTCTCCTTCCCCCCACCCCGACAGAAACTCAGCTTCACACTTTCTAGGGATGCTCCGGGCACAGCCGGAGCCAGCGGTTTTAGCGGGCAGCCGCGGGCTTTCTGGGTTGGTCTCTCCCAAGTCCGCCGCCCGGGAGTTGGAGTGGGCATTTGCAGGAAAGGGGGGCGGCGCACTCCTTTCTCCCAGGGCACACTAGGCCCAGCCCGCTCCGCTGGAGCCGGGGACCCCCCCTCCCCGGTGCCGGTTCCCTCCACCCTCTTTCCGAGTCCTAGCTGAGCCCAGCCATTGCTCCCGCCAGGCCTCGGTAACTGCAGACCCAGGCCGGGGCCGCGGCGGTGACTAGGCCCGGGTCCAGGGGGCCCCCTCCGCAGCACGGGGAGGAATGGGAGTCCCCGGCTGGGCAACCTTCGGCCTCGGGAGCGCCCAGGCTCGGGCGCTGCGCTTTGTGGGTCGCCGGCGGCGGCGGCTGCAGCGGCCGGCGAGGGCGGCGGGGCGAGTGCCGGTGCGAGCGCGCGGAGCCCCAGGGCCGCTGGGTCCCCAGCGCTCGCTGAGCCCAGACGAGGCCGGGAGCTGTCCCCGGGGCGGTGCTGAAGGGAGCGGGGAAAGCGCTGCGGAGGGAGCGGCCAGAGCGGCGCCGCGCAGGGCTGGGGCAGCGCGGGCCCTCGGCCAGGGTCTCTCCGATCGCTCGGCTGGCGACCCGGAACGAGCGCGGTCTACGAACCTGTTGGAGGCAGCAGTTCCTCCGCGGCCGACCAGGGCGCCCGGGACCGAGGCTCTAGCGCGCCTCTCCCTCCCGTCCTCCTCACTCCTCCGCCGAGACGCTCCCTCCTGCCGAGCTTAGCGCGCCACGCGGGGGGCGCAGAACCCCTCTCCTGTCGCCCCGAAAGCTGGCCGAGCTGCAGGGCACACAGCTCAGAGGCCTCCCCCAAGGGCAGCTGAGATCCCAGGGAGACCCGAGCTTCCTGAGAAGGGAGGTGGGGGCTGGCTGCTGGGACAACGGCGAGTGCAGAAGGAAACAAAACGGCTGGGAAGCAAGAGGGAGACAGGGGAGTTCCCTAGACTCACAGCTCTGCCTTGAAGTTTGGGGACGCGGCTGGCGGAGGGGGGAGCGGGTGTTGCTAGGATATCCCTTCTTGGAAATCTCTTTCCACCTCTTTCTATTTCTGTGGCCAGTAACTCCAACATATGCCTCACACTTACCTGTTCCATGGCAGACTCCACTCAGCTCTGTCTCTGACATCTCATTCCGGGACGCCATTAACCGTCCCCTAGGGAAATCTTTCTGAAGATAGGATATTTAAGATCATTCAGCAGCAAAGGGCAGAATCTCCTCCCGGGTTCTCACCGCGACAGAGGACTACCCCAGGGCCTTTGCACCTGAGTCTTTTTAACCTGTTGACGAAAACCTTACTACTTAGGTTTAATCCTCAAAGTACGGTGTCCTCACTGTCACTGAAGTCTCTTGTGCCTCGGGTTGGCCTGTAGTCTCTCTACCAGATGCCCCATCACACCTTATTATAATTGCTTATCTCCACTCCAAGCTACCAGTCTTGTAGAAACTGGATCCATGTTTTTCTCGGGATCCCCAGCACCTAGCACACAATAGTTGTTCAATTATAACTGCTATGTCAGGGAACAAATACAAAGCATAGCTCTGAGGAACTCCCCTTTCTTCGTGTGACTGCTCATTTGATTTCCATATTTCCGTTGCAGCCTGCAAGGCCCCACTTGGCAGCCTTAGCGCCAACACTTCTCTGAGTCACCAACTCCCCTTACAGTGACCTCAATTTCCACCTTGAGCTGCTTCAAAAGTAGAAGTTGCTGCTTTCTTTGCTTGCCACACTCATTATCTTGACTCACTGGGCTGAATCCTTCTAGTCATTTGGATTTTAGCTTCAATGTTCAAATGCCACTCCCTTGAGGAGGCTGTGTGGCCGTGTATTTAATCCAAGGGTGTCCAACACCTCTGTAGGCAACACCATCACATTGCAGTATCAAAAGGTGGAGCATCCCTGGTCTCATGCTTTCCCCATTCACTCTGGAGCGTACTTCACGAGGGCCAAATTTCCATTATTTAGTAGTTTCTGCTCTGAAATAATTTCACAGTCATCCTTTGTCATGTATGGGGGATTGATCTCTCATATCAAATGGCATTGAATTTGTATACAACCTACAAAATCTTCCCATATGCTCTTTTTGGGGGGATAAGGTCCCATGTAGCACAGCTGGCTGTCTTCCTACCTCCACCTCCTAAATGCTGGGATTGCAGGCGTGGGCCACCAGGCTTGGTCTTCTCTCTACCTCCAGCCATCTGTGCCTGCTGTGTGCTCAGTTGTCAGCATTCTGAGCAGGATAGATCTTAGTCTGCACATCACAGCCCCCTTTTCCTGATGTGTGGGTGACGGGCCAGAAGTCACCAGAGAGGGCTTGAAAAGAGCGGACATCCTCAGAAAGGGAAGGCGTGGCTGGGAGAGGGCCTTGGGCCATTTTGTCATGCTTTAATGGGATAGGCCACAGACTGGGCAATTTATCATGAACAGATACGTACTGGCGCATTGTCCAAGGGCTGGAGAGCCCAAAGCAGAGGAGTTGGCAAGGGTCTTTTTTATTATGTTATCTCACTAGCGAGGAAATGAAAGAGGAATGGGGGGCAGAGAGGAAGGAGGGGATAGGAAGGAGAGGGGGGAGAAAGAGAGAGAAACCTTTTTTGTATGTTTTGTCTTTTTAAAAATGTATTTATTTTTACATACTAATCCTAGTTCCCCTTCTCTTCCCTCCCACTCACCCCCCCCATCTGCTCCTCAGAGAGGGTAAGACCTCCCATGGGAAGTCAATGAATTCTGTCACATCACCACGGTGAGGCAGGACCAAGTCCCCCCCCCCCCCTTGTGTCTAGGCTGAGCAAGGTTTCTCTTCATAGGAAATGGTCTCCAAAGAGCCAGACCATTCATTAGAGATTGCTCCTGTTCCCACTGCCAGTGGCCCCACAAACTGTCCAAGCCACCCACTGTCACCTGATTTGAGAAACTCCGAACTTCAAGCTCTGTGACAATAGTCATTTATCTACTTATGAGGACAGAACCATCGTGGACTAATGCCTCCTATAAGAGAATTCTGTCTCTGTCTCTAGTACGTGAGCCTAGAGACATGGTCAGTACCAACAGGGAACCATAGCTATGTGGCTGTGGTTAGAGTCAGGGGCCTGAGCAAACCCTTTCCCAGCCTGGGCAACAACATCAGTAGAAACCATTTCCTTGTCCTTCACACCAACACTCTCACTTGATGTACATGACAACTTTAGCCAGCGGGCATTATTCTGCCTGTTTTATACCCCAAACCATCGAGGGCAACAGAAGCAGACTAACTTGATCAAAGTCAAACAGCTTGTAAAATGGCGGTACTATTGCTCGTGCCATAATCCCTGTTGGGATCTAGAGGTGAAGAATGACTTTTTGCGTCTAGGATTTCACATCACTAGGAGATACAGGCGGAACAACAGATTGTAGCTCAAGAATGACTTTCAACCGGGAGAAGAGTGAGGTGGTATAAATGGACAGACGCCATCAGACAGACACCAAATGGACAGACACCCATATCAAGAGAAAATGAAACGTGAATACCAGCTAGAACCTGTTGAGCGCTATCCAGATGTGACATACTGTGGTGAGAATTTTGCGTGCTGTGTCTCAGCTAGTCATTCCTTCTTGCCCTTCCTCATTTTACAAAGGAAATTGGAATCATGGAGCTGGTGAGCAGCAGGATGAGCTTTAACCTGAGTTTATTTGACTCAGATCTTGAGAGCTTAACCATTATGAGCTGCTGAATTTGAATTTCTGGTGAGCAGGGATTTGGATACGATGATTAGGTCGTAAAAAAGCTGTGCATTAGATGTCCTCACTCCTATTGAGAAAACTTGGTATAGGGAGTGCTGCCAGGCAGTGGAAGGGAGGGTGGCACTACCTTTGGGGATGGTTACAGAGGCTAAAATTGAACTTTTAAGGACTAAGTAGGGGTTTCCAAGCAGACACAAAGGGCTCGTGTTTCAGACAGAGGCAGAATATTCAAGGGCGATTGGATATGACAAGTAAGGGATTGTTATATGTGCATGGGGTTATATGTTACAAGTTGTGTGCTCATGAAGAGGCTATAAGGAGGTGGTCAAGCTGGAACAGGCTTGGACTCAGTTATCACAATTTCATCTCTGAGGCAGCGGAGACCCACTGATGGGCAAAGACTCCACCTTTGACAGCTGTTGTCCTGTCCTTGGTCACCCCACAGTTTCAGCGTTGTCCTCTGCGATTTGCAAAGTACTTTCTCTGGATGCTGTGCACGTCACTCTGAGGTGATGCGGGCCTGACGCTCCATGAGGGTACCATTCCTGTGGTTCTTAATTGGTTTATATAACACCTGGCAGCAAACCTGGGCCTATGCGGGTGCCTAGAGAGCAGCGGGGAATGAAGAACTGTGCACAGGGCGTCTAGTTAGAGGCAACCACTTCCAGTGACAGAACATGAGAAGGGGCACACGGGTCTTTAGAATGCCTACTCTGGAAAGCACCAAGCTACTGCTTCCCGCCTCCGAACTCCTCAGAGAGGTTGGGATTCAGCTTTCCAAAATGGCCGCTGAATGATCACAGCTCCTCTCCCCTGCCATATACAGAAAGGCATGTTGGCACCAGGCTCCCAGTACCCAGCCAGGCCTGGGCTTCTCTGCTGTGTTATATCTTTTGGCTCCTGGATTTTAGTCCTGGTGTTCTCTGTTATGTGACAATCACATCCTATGGCATCGTTTGAGTTTATGGTTTAAAAAGGGAGGTTGCTGTGCTGATGGCACTCTTGGCTCCACCCCTCCTGGAAGTGCTGTGTGCTCTGGGATTGGCTGGCTTGCAGGGCCGGCTGGGGTCAGCACTGCTCACTTCGCAGCACACCTGCCATTCAGTGTCTTGAAAGTCCTTGGGCATCTCTCCTTGTCAGTGTGGAGTCATAGAGGAAGATTACCCCTCAGCATTCAGACTGGAATAGGTGTCTCCCAGGAGAAGGCAGACCTGCATACATTCTCTAATGCGCCTTCTCTCACCCGGTCCACAGTGCGATTACCTCTCATTTTAGTTCTGATGATAGTTTCCGCTCTTTGAAACGCTGGCTCCCTTATTCTTTATTTCTCGTCCTTTCACCGAATCCCAGCTCCATGAGAACCGAGCCTGTTGTGTTACCCCTGAACCTGCTCTTTCAGTCTGCTTTATGTTGCTATGGTATCTGAGACTGGGGAATTTCACAAAGGTGTAGAAATTGATTTTCTGAATTCTGGAGGCTGGGAACCAAGATCAGTGAGCTGGGACCTGGAGGGGGCAAACACTGGGTTCCCACAGGAGGAAGAAAGATATCCTGCCAGCCTTTCCTCCCCAGCACAGATTCGCCTGGGACACTGCCCTCAAGGTGCCACCTTCCACAGTGCTACCTGGAGTTTTAGGGTTACCGTCGGTAACAACTGCTAGAGTCCTGGGTCAGGCAGGATGTGCCCTCTGCACCTTCCCTTTAGGCACTCGCTGCCAGAGTAATGTACCACACCTCAGGGATTTCACTGTTACCCCTTTCACATCTGACAAGTTTTTATAAAAAGTATTTCATGTTTTGTTCATGTATTTGTGCTTAGGTGTGTGCCACATGAGGTGGGTGCCCAGTGGCTGTCAGATCTCCTGGAGCTGGAGTTAAATTCAGTCGTGAGCTGTCCCATGTGGGTCCCGGGAACGGAACTCAGTTCCTTTGGAAGAGCAACAAGTGCTTTTAACCACTGAGCCACCTCTCCAGGCCTGTATAGATGTTCTTAAGTCCTGGGCGTCACTCTTTTAGCAAGTCAACTTATATTCATTTTTGAGAGGGGGGAAAAAAAGGAAATGCAATTCTTTAACATGTATATTATATTTCATTCAAATATTAAAATGGGCATTTGACGGTAAAACTCTCATCCTTAGTTCACAGAC